TAGAGTAAGAAGATGACAGATATCTCCCGGTTTACTCCACCAAAGAGATAGGCAGTTCTCTTCCTATTACACCACTTCCTTGTGTTGAAGTTCATGTTATCGCAACAAAGTTTTCCCGTCCGAAGAAAGTTATAGCTTATATGGACACTGGGGCCTAAATTACCATGATGAATCCCAGCATTCTCCCTGCAGAATCATGGGTGACACATGCTGCATACTTTGTAGCAGCGGATGGAAAAGTTTTCAAGACAAATCTAATGACTAGGGAGAAAATAGGAATTAAATTCTTCCCAGACTGCATAGTCTGGACCAAGGCCATTGGCAGTAATCTTCCAAACAAAGATATTGTAGTAGGAATGTGTAATACCCTAATTTTTAACCCTAAGATCCCACATTTCATTTGCATATTATTCCATAAACAAGATCATACTTTTGGCTTTCGCACCCTTGTTTTGCAGGAAGATTCATGGCAAAGGAATGACTTGGAATTGAGTGTGGCTATTCATGTGCGGTTAAGGTCAAACTATCAAGGGATTACTTCATTTGCAAGTATCTGTATCAGTGGTCTATTTTCTCAAGAGATGATTATTCAAGGTCAAGTGGTCTTGTGGAGAATCATCAGTTTATCAAGCAGTGTTTTATGTTAAGTGTGGTCCAGGTTATCATGATCAAGGGTCCATCAAGGAAAACTATGTTCACTTGTGGATTTATTTTCCCATAGATGGATTCAGGCCAAATTCAAAGTGATTCAACACTTATTCTATTCTTATCAGAGATTCAGAGAATTATGTTAATGGCCGATGTTTCAGTTGCAAGTTATCAGTGGTTCAGGAATGGCTTCGTTCATTATAATCTGATGTTTGTGTGGAAAGTATTGGTGGAAGTGTATATCTCTTTTTTAATCCATTATCCATTATTTTCTACCCAACTATCCAACTACCCAAATACCCAATAACCAATTTTTCATATCCATTATCCAAAATTCATTTAATCCACTTCATTCACATTTTTTCCTTATCCAAATGATTCATATCCATATTTTTCATACAATTTTCAATGTCCATTTAAGTCCAAGAACAAAATAGGTACAAATAACACACATACAAAGGCCATGTCATTAATATTGTTGTAGTGCAAACAAAATGAATGCATTGCTGCAGTTTCTGCTGGTATTGGAATACTTATTCATTCCAGGAAAATCTCCTAGTGGAATCTCTTACTGGAATTGAAAGTCAAACTGAAAAAGAATTATTGGATATCTTAAGATGTGTTATTGAGAACAGTAAACAACATTTCAATCCAAGTTACCGACTTCAAGTTTGTGGCAGGATTCTTGAGGCTGCTGCTTCTGCGGTGTGCACATTTGATATTCCTCTCGAAACTCTTTTGATCTTCATTTCAGCATTACCACACGAATTTACGCATTATGTTGGCAAACTAAGGTCTACTGAAGCAGCTGAGGGTGTTGAAATCAGCAAATGTTGATGGTGTTATGGTAGACTGCTGGTGGGGAATAGTGGAAGCACATACTCCACAAGAGTATAATTGGAATGGTTACAAGAGACTTTTTCAAATGGTGCGTGAGCTTAAACTTAAGTTGCAGGTTGTCATGTATTTTCATGAGTGTGAGGCAATGTTGGTGATGATGTTTGTATTCCCTTGCCCCACTGGGTTGCTGAAATTGGTAGGAGCAATCCAGATATTTTTTTTCACTGATAGAGAGGGAAGACGCAACCCTGAATGTCTTTCTTGGGGAATTGATAAGGAACGTGTTTTGAGAGGTCGGAATGCTGTGGAGGTTTATTTTGATTTCATGAGAAGTTTCCGGATAGAGTTTGACGAGTATTTTGAGGATGGTTTTATCTCGCTGATTGAAGTTGGACTAGGTCCATGTGGAGAGCTAAGATACTCATCTTGTCCAGTAAAGCATGGTTGGAGATATCCTGGTATTGGTGAATTCCAGTGCTATGATCAGTATATGTTGAAAAGTCTTAGGAAAGCAACAGAAGCAAGAGGCCACACTATTTGGGCTAGAGGGCCAGATAACGTTTTTTCTCAACTGGTATTCTCAGGCTTTAGTTGATCATGGAAACCGGGTACTATCTTTGGCAAAATTAGCTTTTGAGGGGTCCTGCATTGCTGCAAAGCTATCAGGTGTTTATTGGTGGTACAAGACTGCTAGTCATGCTGCTGAATTAACTGCTGGGTATTATAATCCATGCAATCGTGATGGCTATGCTGCAATTGTTGCAATGTTAAAGAGAAATGGAGTTAGCTTAAACATTGCTTGTTTTGACCTGCACGCATTGAATCAACATGAGAACTTTCCAGAGCCATATGCTGATCCTGAACGATTAGTTTGGCAACTGTTGAATGTCGGGTGGGATGTTGGACTACCCGTCGTCAGTGAGAATGCACTTCCTTGCCTAAACAGAGTTGGCTATAACAATGTTTTGGATAATACCAAGCCCGTGAATGATCCAGATGGAAGGCACTTTTCTTCCTTTACATACCAGAGGCTCAGTCCACTTCTTCTTGATCGACAAAACTTCATAGAGTTTGAACGATTTGTCAAGAAAATGCATGGAGAAGCTGTTCTTGATCTTCAGGTATAACAAGCAAGAAATCCATAATTATGCTCAACCTTATCACCCTGATCTGCAGTTTTTATTAAGCACCTATCATGAATCTAATCACTCATATTTGAAGAGAAACACAGTTCGAGACTTGGCATTTCAGAAGTGTGAGGGAGAGTTCTAAACAGTTGCTGCCGAACTTGTTCACAGGCTGTCCTCCTCCACCGCACAGCTGCAGATTACAATTCCAATGTTGCCAATGGTGAGATGGAGGTTGCTGAAGCTCTGGTGAATGATGATGTGAGTGTTTTAGATAGAACTATTGGTCGTGCGAGGTTGTTTCCTCTTCATTTAGCAGCTGCCAATGGTCGGATCGAGGTGCTTTCCATGTTGTTGGAGAAGAATATTAAAGTTGATGTCTTGAATCGCCATAACCAGACGCCATAAATGTTGCTATGATGTTTCAAAAGATGGAATTCTGGAAGTGAGCTGATCTCTCTGATGGAAAAGAATAGAATAAGAGTAAGTTTCGGCAAGTGATAGTCAGTCTGTATCCACAGGGATTGCTTCTAATATTGCGAGTGATGCGGCAACAATTTTAGTGGATGTAAACACAGTTGCAAGCAGTAGCAAGGAGACTAATCTGAATGAACAACTCATGAATGAACCACAGGAGATTCCCTGCATACTGGAGAGAGTTCGTTTCTTGTGCTCTTTGTTGAATATTATTGAGCACATGATGGTGGAATTGTAACTGCTCTTTTTGCTGTAACTTTAAGTGGCCTGGGATTGAATCAAGCAGCAACAAATTTCTATTCCTTTGAACAAGGGTGGATAGCTGCTTATAGATTATTTGAGTTGATAAGCCGGTCATCCTCAACTGTTAATCATGATGGCACTTCCCCAGACTATGTGCAAGGAAATATAGATGTTTCGGAATGTGTATTTCAGCTATCTATCTCGTCCCGAAATCCCTACCTTGAGTGAGGGCATGAGAAACACATCATGGATACTATACAAAATCATCATGCACAAGCTTCACTTAGTGACGGTGTCGGAAATTTGCAAAGAATTCGCGCCTTCCTTCGGATTCGGTTGAGGGATTATGAGGTACTGGATTTTGATGCTGGTGATGCTCGGCGGCAGTCTCCTCTTGATACCATGTGGCAATAGATATATTTTTGTCTGAGGTCTGGCTATTACGATGAAGCAAGAAATGTTGCTCTATCTTCGTGTGCTTCACATCAATTTGCTCCTTTACTCACAGAGTGGCTTAATACCGGAAGAATGGTGCCAAAAGAGGTTGCGACTGCTGCATCAGAGGAATGTGAAAGAATGTTGAGAACCGGTGATCGGGTAGGCCGAATGGCATATGATAAGAAAAATTTGCTGCTGTATGCCATCATATAAGGTTCTCGAAGACATATTGATCGCCTGCTTAGAGATCAACAGACTCTTTTTAGTTCGATAGAGGATTTCTTGTGGTTCAAATTGTCAGCTGTGAGGGACCAACCGACAATGTCTGTCCAGGAGAACGATCATATTAGGAACATGAAATTGGTGTCTGGCAGAAAACTATTGACTCTGAAACATGTCGAAGCAGACAGGAAGATTCTGGTGTAAAATTCTGTGAATCAACTGATGCTGATGATGCTTGGAATAAGAAAATGGAGGCATGTGTTACTCGTAATCCGAAAGTCCACGGAGATCTCAAGCCTTTTCCACAGAGACTTTATGCCGTCCCTCCTAAAATTGCCAGCGGCTCTGTTCCTGGAATTTCTGCTGAAACATATCATGATGATAACAAAAACTGGAAAAAACATGTAACTGCTTACAAGAAAATAAATAAACTCTTGGACTCTGGAAGGTATCGCAATATCATGGATATGAATGCTGGTTTGGGTAGTTTCGCTGCTGCGATTCAATCTCCTAAGCTATGGGTCATGAACGTTGTTCCTACTATAGCTGACAAACATACTCTGGGTGTTATATATCAGCGAGGACTTGTAGGCATTTATCATGATTGGTGTGAAGCTTTCTCCACATATCCCAAGACATACGACCTCATTCATAGCAATGGTCTCTTTAGTTTGTACAAAGACAAATGTAACATAGAAGACATTCTTCTGGAGATGGACCGTATTTTACGACCAGAAGGTGCTGTGATATTCCGCGATGAAGTCGATATCTTAATCAAGGTAAAGAAAGTTGTTGGAGGAATGAGATGGAATACTAAATTGGTTGACCATGAGGACGGTCCACTTGTTCCAGAAAAGATACTAATTGTTGTTAAGCAGTATTGGGTTGCTGATACGAATGCCACATCAACAGAGTAACCACTCAAAGACGAATTCGAAGGCTTGTCCTAAGTTTACTAGTGTCTTTCTCAATACAATCCTCATAGAGTTCATATAGTTTTATCATATGAGCGCACGTTGGCTTGAGTATCGACACACCTGTTATACAAGGAAAGGCTGTTCTACTTCTCCCTTGTTAACAATCGAAGATCAACAAATGCTTCGAGATGTTGGCAAGAGGAAGCTTACGCCCGGAATCAGTAAAAGTCAGGAATTTGAAACTGCCAAGACTAGGTTGAGCAAACACCATAGGCTAAGCAAGAGTAGTAATCATTCCCCAATCAGTGAAAGCAAAAACGATGTATTCTGCACAAGACGGCGGCTACCTTCTGTTCCTTTCATTGACTTTGATATTGACCGAATAAAGGCCTTGGATGTCATTGATAGGGTGGATAGCATTGGAGGTTCATAATTGTTATTATTTAATGGATTTTTTTGGCTTGTTCAATATGAATGCTCCCCTTTGTTTCTGTTTTGTTGATTTGCTGGGCAAGGTAATAATCATTTTGAGATTGATGTATTGTGGCATGATGGGAACAAAGGGGAGTCTACCAGTTACCCTGCCAAATCCACTATCAAAGGCGACAGCAATGATCTAAGTGTTGAAGCCTGTACTGAAAAGTTTGCTGGAGAAAAGATTTAGTTGTCTGGCTGTTGTTTTGATGCACTCGTACAATTTCCCGCAGCATGAACAACAGGTTGAGAGGTTCGCACCAGATCTTTGACGCCTTATGCAAGCTTTCTGCAGATTCAAATGCCAACGTACACGTGCTGTAGCAGCTATCACTCGCCTCTTGCATTCTCAGAAAGTTGATAATGCTGTTGCAGATTGTGTGAATCGTGTTGGCACTACTCTTGCGTTAGTTTCCTTGTTGGACTCTTCTGTCAATGAATCTGTTTCCACATCAGAGGAGCTTCAACACGGATATTCTGATCGGGATGCTCTCGTGCGTAATTCAGGAACTCGCCTTTCAGTTTCTGCATATGAATGCAGTCTCCAAATCATTTGAAAAAATAGGGTAATATTACAACTGGAGATACTTATTCAAGCAAGTCAAAACGTATCCATATTAAGCCATATTTCCAAGCCATATAATTCCAGCTGTTACACTCCAAGCTGACCCCACAAGCTTTAAAGTTGTTTCTAAGCCATGAGCCAATTGCAAAAAGTGAATAACACGTCAGCTACAAAGAAAAAGCAAAACGACATGAAAAAAATATCAGCAAAAAGTCACGCACAACTTGCATCACAAAACGCAGTGAAAATTTCACAAACGACAAATCATTTTTTTTCTCACTCTCATCTATAAATAGGATGCATACCTCTTCATTTTTCAAAAGCTTGAAAAGCCAGAAAATCCCTGCTGAAAACTTGTCAATACTCATCTTCAACCTTCAACCGAACTACTTCGATCAATTCCAAATTCACCATTCTTCATCACTCTTCTTCCATTTCCTTCAAATTCTTTCCAATTTCAAAGCAAATTGGAGCTAGAGCAGTAGAAGAGAGAAGAAGAAAGTTTTAATTGACATTTACCTCGACTTTGAAGGTAGTTTGTAGTGAATTTCTCTTTTCCGCTTCGTTTCCGTTGTCGATCATTCTTGAAATTGTTGGTTGCATCATGTGAAACTTTTCATTTCGATCGATTTCGTATACCTTTCAAGCTCCGCCGCTGCCGGATTGAGCTCCAACATCACGGAGAAAGTGATGGCATTGAGAGCTTCAACGTGAAGCTTCATGAGAAAGATGTTGATTTTGTTTGTTTTTCTTTCTTTTTTTTTTCCTTTTCAATTTTGTTTTTTTTATTTCAATTTTTCTTTATTATTTCTCTTAAGAACCGGGCCGTGTGGGCCTTTTCTTTTTTTTTTCTTTTTGTTACTAGTTTATATTTTAAATAGTACTCTTGAAGAAAAATCTTGAAAAATTATTTGAAAAATATTTTAATTTGGATTAATTGTTGGTTTGTTTTTGATCCTAAATTTTGATAAAATTTCATCAATATCAATGGACTTTGGGTGTCGATTTTATGCACCAAGAGAGGTGATTGATATTGATGATGATTTAATCGATTTAAGATTCAAATTGAAATTTCTTTTCATTTTTAATTTTCTTTCTTCTTCTTTTTATTTTTGATCGATGAAATCTATGGATCATAGATTGTTGATTCTCAAGGTTGTTTAATCTTCATTATTTCAAATCTATGGACGAATAATCATTGAGATAATTCTCCGTACTTTGGAATAGTGATAGATTACCTTTGATTAATTGATTAAAAATCTTGATTATGATGAGATCACTACCTCTTTTCTTTTTGTGTGGCATGTTTTAGGAGAGTGATTTACATATCACTTCTCTAACATGTGTTAACACTAACATTATTATTGACCGGCCTCAGATAGTCGTGGTTTCTACATAAACCCGATTACGATTGCTTAACATAGCGCTAAAGTGTCCCTTAATCGGAAAATGATCATTCGTGGCTCAAACTTACGTTTAAAAGTCCAAGTATGTTTAGTTGCTTGTCTTAAGTCCAATACCTATGAAAATCATTGTTAGGAGACTTTGATTCTATCAATCCTCTAATGAGTTTTCATTAACCTTGGTCTAAGTGCAAGAATTAATCATCATTGATCATATGTTCTAACCACTAATTACTAATTCACTAACAATATCCTTGTTTAATTTCTCTTCTTACTCTTTATTTCTTTACTTTTATGCTTCCATTTTATCATTTCATATCATATCTTTGTTTATGTTTATGTCATTTCTCTTTTGTCCACTTGGACCATATCTTGTTCAAAACACTAATAAAGGATAAAAAATCTCTAAAAAAACTTGGTGTTGTTAATTTTGTGGTTATGCTCTTGGACTACTCTTAGACCTTGGACTTCATGGACCTTTGGACTTAGAATTAGGACTCTTATTCCTATGCTTGGAGTATTGTGGATCTTAGCCTTTATTTGGCTCGCTCATTAGCTTATGCTTTAAATCGGATGGAATTCTTTTTTGCTTGCTATGGAGTGTGCTACAAGTCGGTTAGATCTTTCTTACCTCTAGCTCTTATTTTGGTTTCTAGGATAGTCACTTCATCTCCTCCCCTTCTTAAATTTTCAAAACTTTCTCCCTCTTTCAAAACCTTCTTGGTTTCAAACTTCAAAACCGCTTTCGCAATAAAACATTGACTTTCGTCAAGTGATTTTTAAACTTTGTTTTTTCTTAATAAAAGTCAATCAATGTTAATCATGCTTTGACCAATTTCAAAAGACATAAAAAATACAAAAACTCATCAACTCTTTTTGTGCCTTTATGCACTTTTTCACTTTAAAACTTTTCATAAAGTTTAGACATGATTCATTTCTATAGTTGAGATGTAAATCTCCTATTCCCCATATTATTAAGACTTTGACATTTTCCACGTTGATGTTGAGTGATAGTCTTGTTGATAATCCAAGCAAATCCTCCATCTTTATGTGACGCAGATGTTGTCTTAATACTCGTGGGTGGATAGTCGCAGTTTTCTCCTTGAAATGACGACTTGTCTTTACATCTAAAATCAATCAAAACCAACAAATTTTTGTCATTTGTACCATGAACTACGGGGTTTTGATCCCATATTGCACTTTGTGGGTACGTAGGCATGAGGCGATAAGTCTCTCCAAACACAAAAATCTAAAAAATAATTCTCTTCTCATCTCCCCAATCTCTTTTCAAACAAACCATTGTCAAACCAAAAAACGTAAATATTTCAAAGGGCTCCTATAGAGTACTATAGACGTTTTGGGTGCTAACATCTTCCCATTGCGTAACCAACCCCCTTACCCCGATCTCTGTCTCGTGTTCTTATTTTAGAACTCTTTGGTTTTTGTTCGCTCTTTTTCCTTTCCTTTATTTGGATAAAATAAAAGTGCGGTGGCGACTCTTGTTTTTTGAGTTAAGTTAATTAATAACTTACGCTCACGATTTTTACCGCTACAGAATGGATGTCTATTCAACAGCAATTAAACTCCAAATTCTCCCCATAGGAATCAAATTTAAAAGAGAATTCAAACCTTATTCTGGGATACTGAAACTATATTCACTTTCTAAGGTTCCTGCTAGCTATGAAGAGATCAAGTCCAACCTTTTCAGACTATGTGAAGATAGCCATGAGAAATTCCGCCACCCAAAACCTCTATGGAAGAATAAAGACTTCTTCGTTCAACTTCCCTTCAAGCTCAATGAATATGTTAATCCAACCAAGGCCACTCATCTAGGGATGATTCCATCAGATTACACATTAGCTAGGGAAGAATGCAACTAACTACTTAAACAAGGTCTAATAGAACCCACCAAATCAGAATGGGCTTGCCAAGCATTCTATATGGAAAAGAGATCTGAAACGTTGAGGGGAAAAAAGAGGCTAGTAATTGATTACAAACCTCTAAATCATTTTCTCAAAGATGATAAATTTCCCATTCCAAAACCCTCGTCCTTAAATGTTTTCATCAAAGATGCCCAGATCTATTCTAAGTTCGACCTTAAGTCAAGAATTTGGCAATTGGATATCGACCTTGAAGATCGCTATAAAACGACGTTCTGCATTCCTAACGCCCAGTACCGATGGACCGTGTTACCATTTGGGCTTAAGGTAGCCCCATCACGTTTTCAAAAAGCCATGACTAGAATTTTTGAGCCCATCCTCAACAGTATCCTCATCTATATTGATGATGTGCTATTGTTCTCAAAAGATGAAAAAACCCATAAAAAATTATTGGGCCAATTTCTTAAAATAGCCCAACAGCATGAAATGATGCTCTCTGAAAAGAAAAGTCAATTGGGACAAAAAGAAATTGATTTCCTAGGGATGCATTTCTCTCATGGGAAATATCAACCTCAGCCTCATATTGCCCAAGAACTATTAAACTTTCCTGATGAGAATCTCACAGTTAAGCAAATCCAACAATTTCTTGGTATAATTAATTATATCTGAGATTTCCTGCTGAAACTGGCGAGATACATGAGTCCTCTATCCCAAATGCTAAAGAAAAAACCTCCACCATGGGGAACACAACAAACCGAAGCAGTGAAAGCCTTAAAGAAAATCGCACAAACTCCTCATGCTCTAAAAATCCTTGGGAATGGAAAAATAATTCTACAGACCGATGCCAGTGATCATTATTGGGGAGCAGTCCTGATAGAAGAACTTGAAGGAAAAAGATACTATTGTGGCCATGCCAGTGGCCAATTTAAAGAAGCTGAAAAACACTACCACACCACCTACAGAGAAGCCCTCGCTGTAAAGATGGGGATCCAAAAGTTTGACTTCCACATAAGAGGTTACCAATTTGAATTCCATATGGAAAACTCCTCTTTCCCTAAGATCCTTGAATTCAAAAATAAGATGCCTCCTGATCCTCAAACTCTTATGATCA